CTTTATGAATTGTTATCTCCCTAGGTGAGTCGCTATAATCATACTGTGACTATGTGAACCTGCCACAACGTTTCTCAGGCGTCGTGAAAATGAAATGACATTTGTCACCCGTAGACCTGCAGGTCCCACTGTAGCTAGCAGCAAGGTGTGGGGTGTCAAACCCAATATAGATCTATATACAAGTATCACGTTCTCCCTCAAGGAGATTCTGATTATAACTACCAGGAATTATATCCCGCACTCGGACGTACGGGGAGAGAGAGAGTCTCACAACATAGGTTAACAAGTTTACGTGAAATGTGTGTGAATATAAATCTTTCTTGTATGAATGTACCCTTTTTGTACGAGTGTGTTGAGTGATGTATCATAAACTATACCTATTATAGTTTATCTAAAATGTATGTAATATGTATGAACTCTTTTATAGATATGTATTAGTGTTATGAATTTATCAAACTATAATTTTTATAGTTTAATATACGCGTTCTAAATGAATGTATAATATTTATTATGAATTACTTAGTTTCAGTTCATGATGACAAACTAACAAGGAAACACATTCAATAATTAGAACTCATGATTATACACTTTGCTCAACATAATACAAAGTGTTATGATATTTACATGCTGTTGGCTAACTTTAGCCATTCTGCCCTGTTTTGGAAAAATCATAGAAAAATCATACGAAGTCGAAAACTAGATCCGTAAATTCTGAGAGTTCAAAAAATGTGTCTAGTTTACTCATAATTTTTATCACGATTTTTAATGACCTCCAACCTGGGTGAATAAGTCCAAAATCACAGACTGGTCCGGATTGTTGTTTGAAATGATAGACAGTTTTGTAAAAATCACCATAAATTGTAGAAAAATCGTATGGAGATGTGCAAGTAGCCATTTTAAAGATAAGAACTTGAACTATTTGCAACTTGTACAGTTTTGAAAACAAAAATGTTTAAGATGCCCAAAACAGTCCGTGAATGGAGTTGAACTTTTCTGATGAAGGCTGTTAGAAAATTTTAGTTATGTTCTTAGTGTTTTAGCTTGTATTCCCCCCCTGAAAACTTGAGAAAACATGAAAATATAGGGGTATGAACTCACCTTAAATGATTTCAGTAGATGATTGTTGAAGAATGGAAGTGTTTAATCCAAGAACACTTGGAGATGCCTTGAAGATTTTCGAGAATTAAGAGTGGAAGAACACTTGAAATCAGCCTTGAATCTCGAAATTTGTGTAGAAAGAGTTTGAGAGAAAAGTGGTGTTTGTTACTTAGTGGAATGAGAGCAATGAGAGAAAATGAGGAGAGTGGGTGTTTGTTCCAGCTCAAAAAAAACGTGGGAGTGAGTGTAATTTGAGTGTAAGGGACATTGAAGTGACATAGGTAAGGCGAGGAGGTATGGCTGGTCATAGAGTGGGTGTGGGGTGGTTGCTTGTGTCATAAGTTAAGGGAAAGTCAACACTCCACCTTAAATAAATCCCCCATTAGATCTTTATTATTTAGATAATGATTTTCATAAAAATATGTTTAAATTATGAATATTTAGAGTTTATTATGTTAAAATATAATTTCTGGAGAAAATCCCGCTTTAAAATCACGAAAAACGGGCTCAAAATGTTAAAAATATCAAAAATGGGCTAAAAGTGACAAATTTCCGAAATCTGGCCGAGGTTCGGCCTTCTGATGCTGAAACCGAGAGGAGGAAGGGTAGAAACCGAGAGGGGAGAAGAGAGAGGGTAGGAACCGAGAGGGGGGAGGAGAGAACAGAGGGGCGCGAAGAGACAGAGAGGAGAGAAGGAGCAGAGACCGAGAGGAGGGAAGAGACAGAGAGGCGGAGCAGAGACCGAGCGACCAGAAGAGACCGAGAGAGGCAGAGACCGAGCGACCAGAAGCGACCGAGAGAGGCAGAGACCGAGCGACCAGAAGCGACCGAGAGAGGCAGAGACCGAGCGACCAGCAGAGACCGAGAGAGGCAGAGACCGAGCGACCAGAAGCGACCGAGAGAGACAGAGCGTGAGAAAGCAGAGACCGAGCGACCAGAAGAGAGACCGAGAGAGGCAGAGACCGAGGCTCGGTCTCGCATGCCTCAGCCACCAGAGGCTCGATTCTGGTCCTAAGAGGCCTCTCTTCCCGGTTTCGGTTCCTAAAGCCTATTTTTCTCGTTTTCGCCCCGTTTTAAGCCGTTTTTGACCCGGTTAAGGGTCGGTATGACCCGAATGATTCCAAAAAGTTACGGGAAACTTTTGAGAGAGATTTAGGAGAGATTTCACCTACTTGAAGAGATTTGGGAGAGATTTGACATTCTTGGAGAGATTTCTCATACAAAGAGATATTTGAGAGAGATTTCACATACTTGGAGAGATTTGGGAGAGATTTGACATTCTTGGAGAGATTTCTCATACAAAGAGATATTTGAGAGAGATTTCACATACTTGGAGGGATTTGGGAGAGATTTGACATTCTTGGAGAGATTTCTCATACAAAGGGATATCTGAGAGAGATTTCACATACTTGGAGGGATTTGGGAGAGATATGACATTCTTGGAGAGATTTCTCATACAAAGAGATATTTGAGAGAGATTTCACATACTTGGAGAGATTTGGGAGAGATTTGACATTCTTGGAGAGATTTCTCATACAAAGAGATATTTGAGAGAGATTTCAAGTGTGGTATTTGTGAGTGTTTGGCTCCGCTATGCAAGTTTCTTGAGCCCCGTTAAGTCATGATTAAGGATCCCACACACTCCCCATGAGTATGCAACATGGTTTTTATCAGTTTAGTTCATTGATTAGCACTAGGGCTTAGGAAATTTTTAACACAAGACTTTTCTCAAGTGATGTTTTCCCATTAATATAGCAAGTTATACAGTATGAACATAACACAAACCCTAATACACAAGGTTTAATCGAGTTAACCAGCTAGACTTGATGACTTGACTTGACTCAAGATTGACGATTGTCACATAAACTCTAGTACCCACGTGCTAAATGAGTCGAATGGTTTGACTTGTTGACTTCGGTTGACTTTGACTTGACCGGAAATTGACGGTTGTCACATCTATGAAGATGGTCGTAGACTCGGCGAGTTGGATGAACAACTCGACGAGTCCTATGAAGATTTCCTGGAACTCGACGAGTTGTTCTTCAAACTCGGCAAGTCATTTGAACTATTACTTAGTAAGAGGGGTGTAGGTGTTGAAGGTCCAACCCTTCGTATCTGCATGCAGAATTAGCAATTTAGCGTGTAACAATAGTCCCAGAAACCCAAATCCTCATAAAGGATGCTTTGGTGAGGATTTGTAAGCGAGTAGGAGATTTGCTCGAGGGGACTCGGCGAGTTGTTCTTGGACTCGGCGAGTCGGTTCTTTCGTCCCAAGTAGTGAGTTAAGTGTGACTCAATGAGTGAGAAGAGGGACTGGTCGAGTAGGACCGGGTTAGTAGGAGAAGGACTTGACAAGTTTGTGTCATGATTCGGCGAGTCCAGTCAACTGGAAGTTGACTTTGACCAAGGAGTTGACCTTGGACCAAGGGTGGGTCAGTCATATGACCTAAGGGTGTTTATGAGTGGCTAATCTATGTTTATGATTTATAACCGGAGGATTATCGATTCAGCAGCCAGACGCTTAGCAAGCAGACTTTCAGCAACTACTTTTCGAGGTGAGTTACCTTATAGTAGCAATGGGTCTACGGCCACAATGCCGGCCCACTAGTAGGAGTTGTATGATTAGATGATTGTCTCTATGATATTCATCTAGGGTTGCTACCATATGTGATATGTTTATGTGCGAATATGATATGATGCTATGTGTTAGTAACAGTAGGGGAGATAGTCCCCAGATTACCGGTCGATAGGACCGAAGGGGCAGTCATGCCCAACCATGCTAGATAGATTATGTGATACGTGTTATGTGGTAATGGTAGGGGGTGAAATAGTTCCCAGCATCCGGTCGAGAGGACCGAAGGGGAGACCAGCATCCAATTATGCTAGTCAGCATCCGGTCGAGAGGACCGAAGGGGAGACTAGCACCTAGGTATGCTAGTCAGCATCCGGTCGAGAGGACCGAAGGGGTAGGTCAGGCACCCAGATATGCCTGACAATATATGTATGTTATGTGGTTATTTGGTATGTGGTACGGTGGGGGAACTTACTAAGCTTCGTGCTTACGGTTTTCGGTTGTTGTTTCAGGTGCCTCTTCAGCCAAGGGGAAGGAGCTGGCGCGGTAGCGGCATATCACACACGCTCTTGTTTCTGCACTATGAGATATTCTGGGATTTGTACTCTAACATTATGGTTGTTTTTATGTTTTGGTTTTGGACACGAAATATGTTTATGAAATGATGATTCAAAGGATGTTAATTCACAAATGTTTTCCAAAGTGTTGATTTAAAAATGAATATTTTGTCCGTAAAAATTGGATCGTTACAGTTAGAATAGTGTTTATATCTTATAGTTTCAACACCCGTATGCAATTGATCCAAATGTCAAAGATAAACTCTCTCATTATTTTGTAATCACTCACAGATTTGCTTCTTTATGCCTCCTCATGTTGATGGTGTAAGGTGTTAAATGTCTTAAAATTATTGATCCAAATTTTGTGAATTTGAACATAGGAATTGCCGAATTGGCATGTTGGCATTCTTTAAGTGATTCCTAATTAATCTCTATAGTCTTGAACCTATCAATACTCAATACTAATATAAATAGTCGGGATATTTTTCGATCTAAAAATAAAATGTGAAACTTTAATAATAATGTAAAAGATCAAATAAACGAAGTTAAATAGAACTATCAAATGTAACTTTGTCATAAAAAAATCTAAAATGAAAAAATTAAAATAAATCTAAAAATATTCAAAAAATCTAAAACATTAAAATAAATCTATTAGATTTGTGAATTTAGATAAAATTAAAAAATAAATAGATAAATAAAAAGTACACAGTTATTTTGGTTTTGCCATCAATTAAACTCGTTAATTTAGATTAGTGAATTTTATACGAAAATTAATTTGTAAAAAATATCCATCGGCTTAAAAGGCAAACATAGTTTCTGGAGACATCCAGAGGGAGAAAGAACCATAGTCGCTTCAGGATAAATCTTAAAACCCACACGCTCAACAATAATCCTGATCATCTACTCAGAGCAAATTTTATTGAAATTGTAAATTTGATCGTATAATCAACACCGTTTGCATCGAAGCTGCAGAAAGAATCGGTAGGAATTGCTGTCAAAGTTCATCAAAAACCGCGTAATTGTACGATGGAAGGTTATTTTCCGATGAAGTTGAAGAGGAAAGATCTAGATGAAGTTAACGACGACTTCTGCGACTTCTCCCTTTCTTCTCCGGCTAGGAAAATCCGCCGTCTGGTGCGTACACACATACATACATGGTCTACACATATACTTGTATTTCTGTTCTGTGATGCTTTACGCTATGAAAAAATTGTTCATTTGTTACTTGTAATTAGCATTCTTCTCCACAATCTAGATCATCTAGGGTTCGGGTGAAAGCTGTCGTTCAAGTTCTCTTGAACATTCCGTCAGATTAGAGTTGCGAAACCTAGAATTTTTCGATTAGCAATTCCGTTTGGTTTTTGCTAGTAACTTTTCGCTCCTTTTGATTCGCGAAAATTAGTTCCGACTAATGAAGGGTTTTAATTGTGTTCAGGATGCGGAATTGCCCCCAATAGTTGAGGAAGAAGAGATGGGGAGTCCATTGGTATTTGAACAATCGGTTCCCTCTCAAGCTACATCCATGGAACAAGTAATGACACGTAGTTCGGTAGCCATTAATGAGCTGAATGGTAGTCTTCCTGAGAATGAAGAGAGGGCTATTGTTCTCTACGATCCCATGAACAACATTCCTTCATTACAATCTCGTTCACCTTTCTCCATTTCAGTGAATTCCGACTTCCTTTCAGGGTACAAAAGTAAGTTCTTCGCTCCATATATAATCAAATCTTCAGATGTTGACAAAACAGAGAAACATGAAGGTGGCTCTGAGCCAAGCAAAGGTAGCCTAGCGGTGGTTCCATGGGTGGCACCGCCTTCACACCACCGTGGAAACCCAGAAGTGGGGTTCCCTGAAGCATCTGAGATGATGGATGCAGATGATATGGAAGCCATAACCATGGATATCGAAGATGCCAACTCACAGCAATTTCCAAGAAACGAGATGAATCAGTGGCAACAACATTGTATGATTCCAGAAGCACCCATGAATTTGTCTACACCAATTTCTTGGTCAGGTACTACGGGTGTTTAGCAGTTGAAATTAGGTTTTTAGTTGTTAATGTAGTTTGATTCATGAAGGGTAACCCTGGGTAGGTTTGTAAAGGGTAAATATGGTATTATCGTAGAAGGAATGTTATATTGGAAGAGGTCTTGTATTTGGATCTGATTCAAGAATCGAAATGAGCATTCTAGTTTTTGAATATTATCATGTACAAAGGTTATCCAACTTTAGTTTTGTATGTTTTATCTTTTAAGTCATTTAGAAAACGTGTTTTACCTTATATTTCAAGCGAGCTCGTAGAAAAATGTACAATGTACAAATATAGCTTGGCCCTACAACATAGATAGGCTACATACAAAATATATAGACTAATATGCCTCCATAGGTTGAGCAGGAGGCTATTAGGCAATCAAACTTGAATTGGAACTCCGAGAACAAAGGATATGGTAAGCCCTCGATAAAGATATTTTGATACTGATACCAAGAGAAGACATGGTGAATATGTATGTGTCACAATGTGTCAATTTTTATGTGTATTGGAGGTTATGTAGATGACATTCAAGTTGTTGTGGTATACAAGAGTGGTAGAAGTACTAACAACGTTGGCAACCTCGTGATATTCAGCCTCATCACTCATCATTAGAACAAGAAACCATGTGTTGATGTTTGGAGAACCAAGAGGCGAGTTTATTGCTCAAGAAAAAGCAATAGCCCGAAGTTGTGCAAACATACAGATGAAGGAAGTGGTGTATCGTTCTCGGGATGTATCGGAGGATGTGCTCCAATTTATTGAAGTGTGGTTCTTAAGGGTCATGCATATGCATATATATGATGTACGAAATATATGATGTATAAAATATGCAATTTATTAAAGTATGGTTCCGACGACCTTTTGGGGCGCTGGCCCTTGACCCCGCCCGCTGACCGGTCAATGAGACCATTGTCAGGGGCTTTGCTTATTGGACCCTCAACCTTAAGGAAAGATGGCAACACCGACTACCGCTAGACTATAAGCCTTTTGGTTATGATTCGATCTTATATAGCATACAAATAATAAACCTCATTAGTTCACATGTTAGTTCGAATTATCCAGAATGTTCATTAACACTAAAATCACCAACAATAAAGACATATCTAAGAAAAGAGGGAACGGAAGGGAGAATTAGTTACATTTATGACACCTAATTTGTATTTTCCTATTAACCGTAGTCATTCTCTTTCCATAGTCATTCTCTTTCCAATAATGAATGGGATGATATTTGATAATAAATTGATACAATATACAAATATGGGTTAGGCCCCACAACATAAACTCCATAAGATAGACCTAGTATTCAAATCTAAATAATGTCTTTTGTAGTTAGGCTATTTAGTACTCTCAACGGAGGGTTTCGTTGTCCACCCCACACCCAACCAATAACATTAACACCACCACGACGGTTAGTGGCGGCTAGCAGTTCTTAATGGTCATGCTCATTTGTGGTAGGGATGATGATGGACAACATCCAATTAATTTCTATATCTCTCTCTACCTCTTTTTACATTGTAAATAATTAAAAAATATATATTTTTATTTAAATAGAAAAAAAAAAAAAGAATATAGTAGTGGATACTCCTGATAGCCTTATATAAGGTTGGTATTTATACCAACCTTTAGGGGTTGTGTGTGGTGATGAAGTGATAGTGATTTAACACCCACCATATTTATATAAGTCAATGAATTAATGAGTGGCCTGAATTTTTTTTTTCTATAGGTATGATGATTTAGTACGTCTGTAAAAGCTTTCTCGGTAGGACAAATAAAAAGTAAGTTTTTGTCCCATAATATTTAAAGCTCTGTATTATACGTCAAAAATACATATTGTATAGACATCATATCAGCAAAACATACTATTTAAACCCATTAGAAAGTCAATCGTGTGCTTTGAGTGGAACATTTTTGTAGTTAAAATAATTTTAACGTACACAAAAATTGATGACTTAGATACGACAAATAAAGAATATGCTATCATCCTTGACTTTAACCTTTATTTTATAGATCATCATATCATTAACTCATTAAGATAAATAGTAAATGTATTACCCGTCATTTTTCTTGCCATAAATCAATTTTGAAGTAAATTGTTAACTTTCTATGTAAGAGTAAAGAGGCACTTTAATTGTAAATTTGAAAAAGAGGAGTTCAATTATACGTAATGTAGTGAAAAATTCATCATTGTTTGAGATATTGTATCTAAGCAAAGATAAAACAATAACAATATGCTAGTGTTTGGATGAGCAATTATTAAAAAACGTACATTTTTCTTGAGATATACATACACATGGATGACGTATACACTTTTTAAAACATAAATGTTACATTTCATACTCCATCAAATCCCCAAAAAGAGAAGAAAAGTTAATCATACATATAAAAATCAACCATTTACAAACAAGAATCATTCAAGAAAAAAATCAATTTTACAAAATTCAATCATAGACACCAAAAAATTGATTTACAGAAATACATGATAAAACTTCATTACTCATTTGTTCATATTCATAACAACCATCTAATCATTCATCCTATAAATCAAAAATACAAAAAAACTTACAAATACATCTCATCTCAAAGTACCTTCTTCTATGTCAAAGTATATGAATGATAATAACCCTAATCATTAATTAGTCTCCCGATATATATTTTCTTTCTTCATAAAACTTTTTCTCACTCGCTTCCTTCTTCGCATTTCTTTTCTGCAAAAGTCACACACTAATTCACATATTGTATTTCTTTCATTAAGGCTGTGTTTGACACGTCACAACTAGCTAATAAGCTAGCTTATTTTCCAAGCTTTTTAAAATTATCATGTTTGGCAAGCTAAAAAATAGCTTCTTAAAAAAGAAATTTCTAATAAAATCCCAATATTTTGAATCAGTTTACAGTTTAATCCCAACTTTTACTTTTTTGAACAGAAAAGTTCCGATTATTTTATATTTTGCCTAAATTAACGAAAACAGTCCTTATTTTTTTAAACAAAAAATGACAGATTATCGTATAAAATTAGATAATCACGACATTTCTGTTCAAAAAATAAAATTTCGGATTAAACCGTAAACTCACCCAAAATATTGGGACTCTATCTGAAATTTCCCTTTTAAAAAGGTTACTTAAAGTAGCTTTCACGAGCTTTTTAAAAATTTCCCGAATACACCCTTAACTAATTATACAAAACATATTTCTTCTAAATGTCTTTCTATCTCATTTTATATCTTTCAGCTAGCTTATCAACTAGTTTTTACCAAACTGTCATTTTTTGTCAGCTAGCTTTATCAGCTAACAGCTAGCTTTTCAGCTACCAGCTAGTCTGCCAGACATAGCTTAAGAGTATGTCTTATTTATTAAACACAAATACAAATTCACATGTATTTGGAAATTGGAATATAAAGATACCTCATAGATCTCATGATTGGCCTTTATTCTTTGAGCCACAGAAGTTGTGGTGATATTTTTTGGACTCTCAAGCATTTTGAAGATGCCTATACTTTTGGGAACCGAATAAGGATCATCTAGCTTGCCCTATAATGCAAGAAATAGCAATGTATTTTTATCATATAGGACTTTGACCTCAAGAAAATGTGTAAAAAAAAAAGAAAAAAACTCACATTAATAGAAGACTTGCCCTCACAAACTGTTCCATGCACAACTAATGAGATATTGAAAGTTGTAATCTGGTCATGTCAATGAATTTGCAGAATATGAGTTAAGAAAATATACAATCATCAACATGTTTTTTAAAAGTAAATGCAGGAAATGGCAGCGTACTTTCTATCACAACATTTTGCTTCCATAATTTTTTTTATTATCAAGGCATTATACATTGAAATTTTTGCATATTTTTCTTATGACATTATACTTTAAAAAAAAATGAGTGACATCTTTGTATTTGAATGACATTTTGCTATAATAGGGTAAAATTTTCAAATTACAATGTTGTAGTAGGAAGAAACGAAAGTAGACAATGAAATTTTGATTTTTGGGTCATCACAATTCCTCTATTATACGAAAGGGTATTTAAGACATTTGGGAAATACCCGGACAAAATTTGTAAACAATGTGTCTAAGTCAATCAAATGTTGCACTATTATTGAGACACTTATTTGTTCTAATAACTTTTCTTGGTGAAACAATACAATCATTTAATTTTTAAGTTCATACGAGTTGATTAAAGGGCTAAATGCAAGAACTATCAACATACTACTTTCATTTTTTTTAATTACATCATTGCACTTATAATATTACTAATCAAAATCTATCCAATTATATCATATAATGAAAATTGTTTCATATGTGGATTGTGGATGACATTTTGTAATTAGGTAGATTTTTTCAAAGTAGAATGTTCTAGTAGAAGGAAACGAAAGTAGGTTGCAATTTCTTGCATTTTAACCCCCTTTAAAAAAAAAAAAAAAAAAAAAAAAAAAAAAGATGTTTCAAAATTCAATATTACATACCATGTCCTTTGTAATCTCCCATGGAGCACCAATGATGACCTCATCAACATATCGACATGCCAAAACACTAAGACTCCTTTCATGCAAATGCATAAGAGGGAAATGTGTTCCTCTTTGTTCACTACATTAAACAAATCCTTTTTTTATTTAATAATCAATATATAAAATTTAAAAAAAAATGTAAAGTTTAATAAGTTGTATAGTATTTTTACTATTTACCTCACAATTTGATCGGTATAAATACCCACAAGCAAAAAGTCTCCAAGTTGTCGAGCACTCTTCAAAATCTAGGTATGCAAAGACATGGATAATTATTGGTTATGATTGATGCCAAAAGGGCAAAATGGTCACTTGCTCACATTCAAACAGTTCATTCTGAATAATAATAATAAAAAAAAAAACTGTTGGAAGGCTTTTTGTTTGACAAACAACCGTTCTCAATGACAGGTGACAAAGACATGAATGTTTGAAAACAATTTTCAATGACAGAAAATTACCATTTTAGCCCTGTGATGAACGAAAAAGACTGTTTGAGAAATGTTCTGAATGAAAAAACTTGTTGGAAGTCTTTGTGTTTTGATATGGAGGATTGTAGGGTGTTTAAAAATGAGAATGTAATAATTAATAATTAACAAAGGGAGAAACTTTTTTTTTTCTAAATACCTCAACATGTCCAGCATGAAAAAGATCAAATGCTCCATCAATATACACCACACGAGCATTTGGTCCAGGACCCTGAAAAGTCAAGAAAATAAATTAATTAATAAATTCAAGAGTTTTCTTAGAGAATTTATCAAATATATATATATATATATATATATATATATATATATATATATATATATATATATATATATATATATATTCCAATTCACAAGAGCCTAAATGAGTAAAATGAAACAGAGTAACTCATACAAACACCTTGCTACACATCCGCTTAAGTCCATGTTTTTAGATGAGGGTAGAATGGGAAACTCAGCAAACTATTCAGCATCTATGTAGTGGAGGGGTAGTTTAGGTATTTGCTCTAAAAAATTAAACATAGAAACACCTTGCTAAAGCTAAACATCCACTAAAGTCCCCATTTCTAGATGGGGGTAGAATGGGAAATTCAGCAAACTATTCAGCATGTATGTAGTGGAGGGGTAGTTTAGGCATTTTCTCTAAAAAAAATTAAACATAGAAACACCTTGCTAAAGCTAAACATCCACTTAAGTCCCCATTTCTAGATAGGGGTAGAATGGGAAATTCAGCAAACTATTCGGCATCTATGTAGTGGAGGGGTAGGTTAGGTAATTACTATAACAAAGCATTAGGCTTTTTCTTGTGTTCTTTTTTAATATTATCAAGCTTTATAACTAAGTGGTGAATAAAAATATAATACCTTTCCATTAGAGAATTGCACAATTCTTCTTGAAGTAGGAAGAAAACTTGAAGCATTTTTACATTTTAATAAACTCTCCACACTTTTATTCATCTCATTCTCCAATGATTCATCAGAAACTTGAGTTCCTTTCTTCTCCTCTATAGAAGCCAATATTCTTCCTACATACAAGAATCACACACACACATATTAAAGTACATTTCCCATATCAACAATGAAGAAGGTGTTTGGGATTTCATCTCAAAACAACTTATTGACTTTTTAAAAAGTCAATAAGTCAAAAAAAGTAAAATGAAAGACTTTTAAAACAAATTCTTCTCAACCTTCAAAAAGGAGATTTTAAGAAGTTAGAACTTATAACTTCTCTAAAAAACTCCTTATGACTTTTTGAGTTGTAAAATTCAATATTTTACCTTAAAATACCCTTAACTTAAGACACAGACTTTTAAAAAAAACAACTTATTGACTTATTGACTTTTTCCCACCACAAAAACTAATCCAAATTCCAAACGCTTTTTTAAAAACTCCTTTTCCTACCACCATAAGTCAATAAGTCCTTTTGAGGATCAAAACGAAATCTCATACACTAAAAAAAAGGAAAAGTAATTGCTATTATGAATTAGTTGTAGTACCTACAATATCTGTACTAGAAACGCCCTCCGTACGTTTTATCTGCTTGTATCTACCAACTTTTTTTGCAAGGGCATATGCGTCACTTCCATCAGGAAGTAAGCAAGGATCATCACCATGTATGATGTAATCAATCTTATGCTCATTAAAAAGTCGATTCATAAACTCTTCGGTAATTTCATATGGTGCATTAGAAATCACTTCATCCACCCACTTCAATCCACTAACAAGAGCCAACCTTAAACAAGAAATAGCAACAGACTTTTATTTATTATTTCTTTATAGCATCCTACTTTTATTTTGTTTTCATTAAAGCTTTTCACACTAAATTATTCGGCTAAATGCAAGAAATAGTATTATAGTAATTGACTACTTTCATTTATTTGTGTATTATAGCATCATGCTAAAATTTCTTTTTATTACATCATTGCACTTTCAATTGTTTTTATTAAGGTGTTACATTTTAGAAAATTTCTTGTTAAGATCTTATACTTTGATATGCTAAAAAGGGAAAGACTAGAAATCTTTTAACAACAAATTATAGAATCACAACATCCTACTTTCATATTTCTTTCTATTATAGAATTGTACATTCATTTTTTTTTTCTTTAAGGAATTGAACTTTGAAAAATCTACCCAATTCTAGCAAGATTTTCAAAGTATAATGTTCATGATAGGAAGAAACAAAAGTATATGATGCACAAATAAACAAATTAAAGAAAGTAGATTTGTTGTTTCTTACAATTTAACACTAAATTATAATTATACCTCTCTTCCATAGATAAAACGGGTGGGCCCTTGTTCTTGATAATTTCCTCATCACTTACAAGTCCAACCACCAATTCATCACCCAAAGCTTTAGCTTGTCTTAAAGCATTAGCATGTCCATAATGCATAAGATCAAAACAACCATCCATGTAAACCCTAATTCGTTTCTTTCCCCCTTTTTCCTTTTGAAGGTTTCTCAAGTAAGATAGCATATAAGGCAAAGTAGGAAACCCCATCATGCCACCAAAATAACTTGTTGATAAACCAAGCAATGCAGCTGTTAGCATAATGCCACCAAATAGATGTGGGTAGTAGTAAACCCCATCCCAATTTGTAGTATTACTCTCGAATTCCATGTTTTGGCTCCTAGGGCCTTTGAATCCCTCTTTTAATGTGGTAATTGGAGACACAAATCCTGCAAAAAGAAGAAAATCACCGAAATTGTACAAGAAGTTAAGAACTGATGAGGAAGTTGAGTGAAAAACTTGCATGCGATGTTAAAGAAACGGAAATTGGAAGTTTTTCTTAGTAGCATTGATATGAAAGATATTACGAATTGGAAGAATGTATTGAATAATGGAGAAATTGAAACGCATTCATAAATGGAAGGTATCTACTTTCTGATAAGATGGGTATGAATTTGAATGACGATAATCATTCAGATTGCAAACATGCAAATTCAACAAAAGCAAACGAAGATCATGCAAGAAAACGCAAAATAGGTCGGGGAAAGAACGAACTACCGAATTGGGATCTGAAAAGCCTGAAAGCAGAACGGAAATGTAAGCTTAATTACTGCTTATGATGTATAGATTCTAGGGATCTTTTCTTTTTTGCTGAAATGAATTCAGAAAGAAAGAGGGGTTGCGTTCGATTTCGTCAGATCGAATCTGAAAAAGTATTACCTTTTTGTGTTGGAATTCGTGTCTCCTTGCTCTCCACCTCTCTCCCTCTGTTTCTCCGCTTATTTGAGAGGTTGAACGAAAGAAAAGGGGTTATTTTTTATATAACATGGAGTAGAGAAATTAGGCAAGGTATCAAATTCATTTTCCACATTCACATTTGAAGCTAAAACTTGCAAACTAAGAAAACTTTCAACTTCAAAATTAGAAAAGAAGTCAATTACAAGAAATCATCTTCGTACAAATCTTTGTTTTTTCAACAGCTGTCATATAGTTGTTCTTGGTTTGACAATCTTGTGTTAAGAGGATTGTTATATAGTAAAACTTCTAATTAAGATATGTTAAATAAAGAGTAAACAACTTTATTACATCATATTTGTTTTAAAACTTTCAAGGGAAGCACTCTAATCTTCAATGTTTAAAAACTCATAGACATGTATTTCAAATGGGTTTGATATCGATAAATATCATTTATAACTGATTTTCTGATTGTTCAAAACTTTATTAATTGATAAGTTGTTGGTGATTTTAATGTTACCATGTCATGTTATGTAATTGAAATTAACATGTGAGTTAAGGGGTTTCATAATTTGTACTCTAATATATGTACGAGTTTTGTATGAAGTGTGCACATGTATAAGATCGAATTAGAAGCCGGTTCGACAACAAATCGGGGGTTTTGGGGCAACGCCCCTTTGGCGGGGTCCAAGGGGCAGAGTCACTGGCTGGGAGCGGGGTCGAGGGGCAAAGCCCCCGCGGGGTTTGGGGGAGCGCCCCAAAAACTCTTAGAATTTTACATATAGGAACATAGTGGGAAATTCAAATTCGTTAGGGTGATTATGGTAAAACTAACAAAATTCATTAGTTTTGGAAACCCTAAATCCTCATTAAAATTCGAATTTCCCTGACTTGCTTCTGAAGCAACCCATGACAATCAACCTTAAGAGAAACCATACTCTAGTTTATTATAAAAACGACTCTTCTCTTTAAGAAGAGATACATGAAAATTATTAGCTCTCGTTTCCTTCAAACAAACAGAGAATTCTTCTAGCAATTTGGCTTACGATTTGTGTGCCTAGAATCGTAAGTGCCCTCTTGGATTATCCTAGGCTGAATTTCTTGTAACCCATGCATATGGTAGAAATATCAATTCAGAAAGTGTTCACATGATCCAAGTGGTATCCATATATCCAATGTAAACCCTAATAATTCCAACATAAGTAACATCCGTTAAATAAGATAGTAGAAACGATCTCAATAGAGGGTGCGAGGAGGAGAAGTAGGCCAGGAAAGTGAGAACATAGTGTGATGTTAAACTTAAAAGAAATAGCCCTTACATAGGAAATAACTTGAGATATGAGAGTATGAAAGCTTAGAATTAGAGTAGCAGAATAATATTAAGATAGTCTACCTTATTTTTCTTCATTTGTGGTTGTTGGTCAGTTTTCTCCTACCAACTCTTCTTTGCCTATTACTTTCATCATGTGTATCCAATATATGTTATCGACTTATTTATTGGATCTATTTCCTTTACTTGTCTATTTGTTCTTGTTTTAATTGTTTACATGTGTAGCATCCAAAAAATACTGAATAAAATTTTCATTTTGAATAAGTCAAAACTATTCATTCATTATCCCAAAAGATGGTCATAGTAGAAGTATTTTCAAAACATCAGAGTGAAAATATAAATATTCGATGTGGAATAAATCTAAAGGTTATGAAGTGCGATCAAGTTGGACCCTTCCTTTTGAAATCAGAAGTACCTGAAAACATTTCAAACATAAAATGTACGCACAAAGCTTAATGAGTTCCCAAAATACCACATACCATACATACATATCAACTCGAAGTTGTAACGAGTCTATTTCACCCCCGAGTCTATTTCAACCCAATCAGTATTTTTCAACCGTATGGGTTTATTTTACCCCCGAGTCTATTTCACCCTCAAGTCTATTTTAACTCAATCGATATTTTTTTTCAACCGAACGGGTCTATTTCACCCTATATAAATAAAGCATACAATCATATCAGCAAGAGTCACTGTAACATCCAAAATTTTAATAAAATTTAAACTTTTCAAAACAACCCTTTTTTTATAGAAGTGTTTACAAAAACCGTTGTTTCCAAAACATTATTTAAAAATCAGAATCTCTTTCAACATAGTTTTCAAAACATTTACATTATCAGAGTTTTCCTAGAAATCATAAGTTCAAAACGCGAGGATGTGTACGGTCACGCCTTCACCCAAACAAGATCCTGCTGAAGTACCTAAAACCATAAACCAAAACTGTAAGCAGAAAGCTTAGTCAGTTCCCCCCAAAGTGCCAACACCCAACCAGATAACATATACAAATAACAACATGCATACAAAGCCTTCAGCATGTCTGGACAGCAACAATCGGATCCTGCGTCCCATCAAACTCTGTTGGCTTCGTGTTGTTGAACTCCCGGTACAACAACGAGTCACCCCACTGAGGTTTAGCAGCAGCCACAACTGCAGTAGCCGCAGCCTCAGTAACTGCTGCGTATCTCTCATCGAATGTCTCAATCAGGGTGGTCTTGATAGACCCAAACATCTCTGGTATCTCTGCGCAGATAGTCGCAACCACTTCATCGTGGATCATTGGACGAAGCTCCTCGTCACTCACGCCGTTGGTCTTTGGTCTGTGGCGTGTCACAACCATGATGTCTTTGAAATACAACATAAAAATATCAGAGTCGCTCGAGTATACTCACACTCGATAACTCAACCCTACTTGCTCCTTAGTACCCTAAGGATTCTTACTTGGATTGCGCACTGATTCGGTGTCTTCAGTAGTACGAGCCCTATACTACCATCCACACCGCATCAGTATTCACCCCAAGTCCTCCTCCTTGGATCCCAAATCACAAGTACTCTAATCTCGCTATGTGTAGGCTACTCTCCAGCAGACCTCTCGTAAGCTCCTCACTGCTACCTACTCACTCTCAATCATCTCATAGCAGCAGTAATCTCATAGGCTAAGGCATCATATATCAGGTCACTCTAGTCCTAATATGAATACCTAGCCTACCATAGCATGCATAGCATGTCATATCATATCTCATAACACATAATATAAGGGTATTTTGGGAAATCACCATTCAAGCGTTGGCTGATCGTACACATTTGCTATGTTCTACTTGTTTCAAAACCTTTTACTCTTTTAGAAAAATTGTTTTATTGTGAAAAAATTCTCAAATCCTCAGTTTGAATTCAGATACGCCCGAAGGTGCATCCGAATCCCTCAAACCAAGACTCTGATACCAACTTGTAACAACATGAACTTTCAAAACAATTTTTCATTTTAAACACACAATTCATTCATTAAGAAATCCCAAAAGTCAATGTTTACACATCATCCGATAAAAACAAATCCTAATATCTCAATACATAAAATCCCTCAGTGTGTACGACTCATGCCGGTGCCTTCCCGTGATCCTCGCCGGTACCTGAGACACATATCACATAACACGGTAAGCATAAATGCTTAGTGAGTTCCCCAAAATACCACATGTAACACATACGCCACTCAAGGCTACAACATGACCCTTCGGTCGATGTGTCTCAATGGGACCCTCCAATCCCGTAGCTCGTTGGACCCTCTGATCCGGTCTATATCGTTGGACCTTTCAGTCCGGTCTATATCGTTGGACACTCCAGTCCGGTATGTATAAAACATATCATATATGTATCACAATGCACATAATCTCATACATACACATAGCACACAAGACCCTTCGGTCTACACATAGTTACCACTCTAGGTAATGTATAGTGAGAAGACTCACCTCGAATGAAGTCGGATAAATTCTCGTGCTCGACGTCCCGACCTAGCCTCCTCTTATCATCCAAATAACAATCCTGATCAATACCCAGTCATAGTCTCATCTCTAAAGATTGGGTAGAAGGCCATTCTACCCCTCCCTAAACTCTCTTAAATTAGCTTGACCAAACCCCTAAGGTCAACTGAAGTCAACGATCAAACTTTGACCTGACTCGTCGAGTGCACATGGGCGACTCGGCGAGTCCATGCAGGTCCTCTGAATCCTTCTAGTCTCACTTGGCACGTCGATTCATCCCTTCACTCGACGGGTTACTCATGTCACGAATCGCAGGGCAACCCCGACTCGACTCGTCGAGTCCACTTATGGACTCGACGAGTTGCTTCCATAATCACACTCAAATGACCTTCTGAGGTCAGATCTGCTTCTCTAACCTATTGATTTGCCCTTCCCAAACACAATAATCACGTAAAGGTCCAGTCTTGACATTCATGCAACACACACAAGGCTTTCCTTGGTGAAATGGCTTCTAAAATAGCAACATAGTCTCATTTCCTCCATGAACCAACATAAAGCAGAATGGATAAGGCCCTCTAGACCTCTAAAGGTCCAGATCAAGAGTCTAACACTCAAAGGGACAACATACTCAACAATTCAAGCCAATAAAGGGTATACAAAACCCTAAAATTCAAGGATCTTAAACAAAACAGAGAAAGGATCGATTTGCTACCTCAACATTGTAGATCTAAGCTTGGAAACCACGGATTAGCAACCCTCTTGATTTTCTCTTCCTGGAAACACCTTCTTCTTTGCAAAACCACGACAAAAAGGGATCAAAAAGCTCTCTCTCTCACACAACTCGCTCAAGCTCTCTAGGGGTTCTCTCTCTGGACTGGTAGCCGCAAATGAGGGCTATAAGGTCCCTTAAATAGGGCACAAGCCCGGAGATTTAGGGTTTTTGACATCAGCGCGGACTCGTCGAGTCCACCCATCGACTCGTCGAGTCCGTTCATTAATACTCGACGAGTCTAAGCGTCAACTCGCTTAGTCCCTCCTCATAACTTCAAATTAAACAATTAAAATATGATACCTGGAAATCCGGATGTTACATCAAGCGACTTGTGGTCTCTCTAAATAACAACACGATGTCAATTCTCAATAGCATCCTACTTTCGCCACCACGTTGTGGATACCCATATACTACGCCGCAATACAAAGTACATCGCCCTCAACTTACATCTAATTCTCACCCAAATCACCTCCTTATTCACCATGCCGCAACACCCTAACCAGCGCGTTAGAGCATGAGTAAACTTTCAGGCTCTTTTTAAATACACTTCTTTCCCATATCTTATACATATTAATTCCAACTATTTTATCCATACTTAACCCATATATCATTACTTCAAACATCAAACAAAACATACAAAAGAATGAAAGATACCCAATACCATTATATAATCCAAATATTATCATTAGAACCAAAATACCCTTAAACACATAATAACAACCTAAACTACTTTTACAAAAATTCTAGGTTCTTAAACAAACTATCAAACGTCAAAACTTAACTTGTGTACCATATGTAAAAAATAAAAATTGATGGAAGTCAGCTACATAGTTCTTAAATCTGAAAGACATAAACATCACATACAATCAATAAAGAATTCTAATATTACCAATTTAACCAAGTGACCAACCCTCTTAAAATCACAAACAAGAATTCATCGAGATTAACTATACAATACATTCATCCTCTCATGTTCTTCGACTAAATCAATGTATGATATCTAATATTACCAACATCAAAACATAGTTGGATTTTTGGATGAGAAAATTAACCAAAAGAAGAAGAAGCGATGGCCGACCCACAAGCCCTGTAGCGATCCCAACCCTTAAATCCTCTTAGTAGCATGCCTTAACATTTTTCGTGGTTATCTTTTTTGGATTGTAAATGAATTTGATTACGGGCGTGTTAGGCACGGAGCTTTTGGAAGCGTTTGGGAGCTTCTAGCTTTTAGCTTTTGACAAAACGCTCTAGTTTAAACAAAAAGCTTCGTTTGGCAGTACAAGCGTTTAACTTTTAGTTTTAACAAAATGCTCCGATTTTAAAAGCTACTTCATGTAGCTTTTAACAAACGCTCCGGAGCTTTTGAAATCAATTTCCATAATTACCCTTAAAAATATATTTATATATTTTTTTATTTTTAATAAATTGTCATTTTATGTAATTTTATATATTTCAAAAGCTTTCAGCTACTTTTGCCAAACATTCATATAACACATAAAAGCTACAGCTTCCTGCTACACGCTACCAGCTAACCGCTACTCGCTTCCAGCTAACAGCTACTTTTACCAAACACGCCTACGATGTAAAACCAACGCGAAGTTGCGATTTAGGAAATATAGATGGAGGATGAGGGCATAACGTATCTTGTGTCGTCTGACATTCAATCGATGGGTAAAATGGAGCAAAACATATATTTTTCATCATTCAATCAGTGAGACCACTCAGTTAAGGTTTAAGCTATGTGTCGGAAGCACATCAAACATCCTAGCCAAACCACCATTTGTTCGAACCGGTCAACACTAAGTCACTAACCCTAAAAGCCTCTTAGAGTACCAAAAATACCATTAACCAAAAAAATTCATAGGACTTAGCCAGATTATCCTTTTAAATTAAAATCTAAACCCGGTCGTTGGGTAGGTTCGCGTTTTGTCGGCTCTAACTTTTATATCGAGACGGTGGTCGTACAACGTGACTCGAAATTTCCGAGGATTGCAGGTTTCCCCCTTCGCAAGACACCATTCGTTAATATAACGTTCGAGAGAGATTAAATTCCCATTCATCAATCAAATTCGCTTTTCACAACCAAAGTGATTTAGGGTTTATCTGATTTTACAATACTAAATAGGAGAAAGAGATATGGAACGTGAGGATGACTTGAAGCAGAAATTGCAAGATTTACAGAAGCAACTAGGGAAAAAGCAAATGTTCGAAGAGTCTGTCTCTTCAATTAGATCTCTGCTCCATCAATTTTACCCTTCCGCTTCCCCTTCTCTTCGTAAATCGGTAATTTAAACATTAACCATTTCTTTTGCAGATCAGTATCTATTATCGTTGTTTTAATTTTGTCTGTTTATTTTGAAATTGCGTGGATTTTAGCTTACATGATATGCAGATAACGATCAGGCTTCCTCTTTATCGTTTTCCTTTTTGTTTGTTGTAATCTGTTTTAACAAAGTAACGACTTGGCGTTTGAAATCTACACAAATCAATGATGAAACAGTATTATGATGATGTTCGATCATGATTACTCCATGACATGAGTATGAACTATGAACTAATGATCACTACATGAACCTTCAATTCGCTTTAGTTGTAATCAAGGGTTGATGATAAAGTTACCCTAAGAACTTTAGGCCTTTAATCGAATATAATCAATGGATTAAAAAAATGCATCTTTCATAGCTTTTGATCTATTACTTATAAAACAAGTTATGGATGCCACAGTTTTTCACAGTCATATCTCGTGTTGCAACCATATTAAAGACAAGATACACCTCACCCGGATTTTGGAATGCTGGATTAGGGCTCTTTCTAGAAGCTGAACAAATGGTGTCTGAATCTTCTGAAAAGCAACATCTGAAGACTTGCATAGTTAGAGCCCGAGAACAGTTGAGTGAAATAGATAATCAGCCTGACGAATCTGCACAAAACAGGAGACATCAAGGTCTTTTCTTATTTAACTGGTTCCTTATAAATTGTATATAGATTCTAAACAAGGGTAAAATGGTCATTTATCGCAGGGTATTTATTTGAAGGACATTTGACTGTGGACCAAGAGCCTCCACAGCCTCAATGGTTGGTTCAATCAAATCTGATGACAGCCCTTGCTGCTACAATGTCTCAAGCTGAAACATCTGAAAACAACACGTCAGATGGGCCCACCAATCTCCCACGAGAGCTCATGGATAGACTTCAAGAGCTTATGCCCAACATATCACCCGATTCCAATGATTTACCTCAAGAGATTATCGACCAGCTTGTGGCAATGGTAATTTCGTAATTTACTGTATTTGTCATGCATTGGACCGGGACCGAGACTGATATCAACCAGACAAAATTTATAACTTTTTGTTCCACCGAAAAAGATAGAACAAGGTGGGACAGGGGACTCGCTCTCGATATCTCATCCATGAAAATGACGTAAATGCCCTCCTCATCCTAATCATCGAAAATAGCCCTGGAAAGCCTGACAAGTGTGGTCCGATCTTTTGTAACAAACGCAGCCTTACGGCTGCGTTTGTTATATAAGACATGGCTGGACAGGCTTTGTAAGGCCATTTTCGACGATCAGGATGAGAAGGACATTTACGTCATTTCCATGGATGAGATATCGGGAGCGAGTCCCTGTCCCACCTTGTTCCATCTTTTTCGGTGGGACAAAAAGTTACAAATTTTGTCCGGTTGATATCGGTCTCGGTCCCAGTCCAATGCATGACAAACACAGTATAAAGCTCTCATGTCGTGTCTGGTCGAGTGGAGGGGCGTAATCGTAATTTTATTTTATTGATGTTTATATACAGTTTCCAGAAGGGGATTCAGCAGCAAGAGCACCACCAGCAAGTAAAGAAGTGGTTGCAAAGCTTCCGGTTATTGTTATTACAAATGAGATCTTGACCAAGTTACGAGCAGATGCTGAATGTGCGATTTGTAAAGAGAATTTGGTGGTAAACGATAGCATGCAAGAGATGCCATGCAAACACACGTTTCATCCTCCTTGCCTCAAGCCATGGCTGGTAAATGACCATTTTTTATATATGTGAGTAAATGACCATTTTACCCTTGAGTGTTTTGAGAATTTGTTGTTGTGGTTTGTTTCAGGATGAGCATAATTCGTGTCCGATTTGTCGACATGAATTACGGACAGATGATCATGAGTATGAAAGTAGGAAGGAGAGAGAAAAGGAGGCTGAAGAAGAGAGAAAAGGAGCTGCAAATGCAGTTCGAGGAGGTGAATATATGTATGTATAGGTCAAAAAAGGAAAAAAAAATATTATTTGTGAAAATGTTAAGAGTGATATTATTTTAAAAAATAGTATTGTTGATTTGTTTTTAAGTATGAGATTATGTTATTGTTACCTTTTATTATTATCATTTTCGTTTGTTTTTGAATGATCTTTTGATGTTTACATTGTGTATTCAATATTTTATTTATGTTTAAAAAATAAACTAAAGAAATTGTCTAAATGCAAATATAAAAATTCATTAAAAATATAAATTTATGTATGTTCTATATAATAATGAATTTAAAAAAAAGTAAAGATTTATGATAACAAATAGAAACAAGGTTTCTTCAATCGAGAATGTGACTTTTACGAGTAATTAACTAATTGTATTTTTAAAAAAAAGTAAATTACTGAAATCGTACCTGTGGTTTGGTTAAAATTGCATGTTTGGTCATTAATTTTTTTTTTGCACTCGGATCGTTCATGTGGTTTGATTTTGTTGCGTTTTTTCGTCCCTGTTGTTTGATTTTGTTGCATTTTTCGTTCCTTACATATATAAAATTAGGGACCAAACATGCAATTTTTATCAAACCATAGGGACGAAAAACGCAACAAAATCAAACCACAGGAACGATCCGAGTGCAGAAAAAAGTTAGAGACCAAACGTGTAATTTTGACCAAACCACAGGAAGGATTTCAGTAATTTACTCTTTAAGAAATTATGTTACATCCAAATATCTCATTGTGAAATTAGATATGTATATGTTCAATTATCAATGTAATCTCAAATGAACCGTATGTGTGGTTATTAATGTAGGTATTTATTAAAATAAAATTGTATGGTATAAAATCAAGTGGACCAATTTGATTAAAATCAACACGTTCAATTTATTTTATTTAGATTCGTAGGCTACAACTCCAATGTTTGCATGCATGCCATGCCATACACATATAAACCATGACATGTGATTTCATTAATTATGTAAGAGAAAAATGTAAATACGTATGGCTATCAAACCTATTATTAAAACAATTAAAAAATTACGATGTGAAAAATAAAATATAGAGGCATTGTGTATGATTATATTCACGCGTTGCGTATAATACAAAAATATATTTGAAATATTTATAAATATATATATTTCAAATATATTAATGATGTTGTTTGCTCTTATATAATAAATCTTATAATAAGTTGGTATAAATATTTTTGTTTTGAATTATATAATAATATAGACATCTTTTTAAATTCTATAATCTTAGTTGTTTTAATGATCTCTACCTGTAAGTTACTCATGAATAAAATTAAATATAATATATGGTTTAATGATATTTATAGTTATTGTTATGATTAATTAATTTTAAAAAGTTTATTTTTTGTCATTTTAATTTTTATCATTATAATTATTTAAAACATCAAACATTGTTTTTGGTTTTAAAGATAACAAAATAGTTTTTGTATATAATGTTACTTTTAACTATTGCTGTTGTAAGTTATTTTAAATAACGTATTTGAAAACTCTTAATTATTTTAATTTTGTTTCATAAATTTAACTTTTTTAAAATTTATTTGATGAATATTGTTAGTTTCTTTGATTGTAATTATTTATAACAATAAACATTTTTTTTTGTTTTTAAAGATAAGATTATAGTTTTTTTTTTTTTTTTTTTTTTTTTTTTTTTTTTTTTTTTTTTTTTTTAATATAATATTACTTTTAGCTATTCATATTGAAAGTTATACTTAAGTTACTTATTTGAAAATTCTTAATGATTATAAAAAATAGTTTCATGCTTTTTTTTTTTTTGTTAATTTAGGATTGCAATTTAGGTTTCGCACTATAATTTGTAACTTTTAACTATTTAGAGAATACTCTCTCGTTTTTTAAGTTTAAATAAATTTTGATTTAAGTTAACCATTTAACATTATATTGAAATTAATAATTTAACTATTTTGCATAAACTTATAAATTATACAAAATTTGACTTTAAAATGATAATTGCTCACATATAACAACATATCTAAACTAATAAGTTAACTATAATATTTTTAAAAGCTAAAGTCATAATTTTATAAATATAAGTAAAATATGATATTTTAATATTGTAGTTTAGTTAATTTATTATTAGAATTTAGTTTTATATTAATTAACATTATTAACCAATTTATAATAATTATTAGAAAAAATTTGAAAAGTCATGGAGGTTTCAAATGCATGTGGTGCAAGTAAAAAGTGTCTCATTTATAAGTATATATTAGGCGAATACCCGTGCGTTGCGCAAAACACAACAATATATTTGAAATTTTTACAAATATATATTTTTTAAATATATCAATGACATTGTTATTAGCGTTTATATAATAAATTTTATAATAAGTTTGTATAAATATTGTTTGTTTTGAATTATATGATAATGTAGATATCTTTTAAAGTTGTATAATCCTAAGTGTCTTAATGACGTCTACCTGCAGATTACTTATGAATAAAATTAAATATAATATATGATTTTATGATATTTATAGTTGTTGTTATGATTAATTAATTTTAAAAAGTTTATTTGCTTAAGATTTTAATTTCTATCATTGTAATTATTTAAAAAATCAAACATTGTTTTTGTTTTTACAGACAACAATATAATTTTTGTATTTAATTTTACTTTTAAATTGTTGTTGTAAGTTATTTAAAATAACGTGTTTTGAAACTCTTAATTATTTTAATTTGGTTTAAAAAATTTAATGTTTTTATAATTTATTTGATCAATATTGTTAGTTTCTATAATTGCAGTTATTTAAAACAAAAAAATTGTTTTTGTTTTTAAAGAAAGTATTATAGTGTTTTATATAATATTACTTTCAACTATTCTTATTATAAGTTACTTTTAAGCTATTTTATTTGAAAATTGTTGATGATTATAAAAAATAGTTTCATTGTTTTTTTTGTTTATTTAGGATTACAATTTAGGTTTAACACTATAATTTATAATCTTTAACTTTTTATAAAACAGTCTATCGATTTTTTTCAAGTTTAACTGAAATTTTGATTTAAGTTAATTATTTAATATTATATTGAAATTAATAATTTAACTATTTTGCATCAACTTATAAATTATACAAATGTTGTGATTTTAAAATGATAAATGCTCACATACGACAACATATTTAAACTAATAAGTTAACTATAATATGTTAAAAAGTTAAGCCATAATTTTATAAATAGAAATATAATATGAGATTTTAATATTGTAGTTTAGTCAATCGTTTAAATGACTTCTACCTGCGAGTTACACATGAATAAAATTGAATATTGTTGGGTTTTGAGCATTCTAACACTCCTATGGTGTACATGCAACCCTATAAACATTGGATCTATGTTTTCTCTATTACACATGTAAATAAGAACTTTCCAAGGCTTTAATCCTAACTAGCATATTATGAAGTTCTTATACTACAAAGTACTAGTTAGATGACATACCTTTTAATGTAGCTTGATGTCTTCAAGCTTTAAGAGCTTAGCCCCAATAGTGTGGAAGCGTCAAGTGGAATCACAAATCACCAAAACACCTTGGAAGACTTTAGAGAATATGGATACTTGGTTCTCTCTAGTGAAATCGGCTAGCCCTTCTTAGTGTACCACACTAGTGCCCATTTCACCAACCAATGACATCTTTATATAGTATGGAGACTAGGGTTAAACCCATGACCTTTCATTTCATATGATCCATGGGTTAAAACACTCCATGGACTATCCATGAGAGCTTAGCCCAACCTAAATGAACTTGGCCCATTCCATATATATATAAGAGTCCATATTTAATTAGTTCATTTTGATCACTTAATTAATTCTAAATTAATTCTTGATCAATACTAATTAAATAATATGATTCCATATTACTATATTAGAACTTATAATATATTAATATTAATCATAAATATACTATTCTCAAAAGACTATCCATATAAATTGTGTTGGTGAAGTGCAACCCAAATGAACCATGTCGGGTCGGGTCAAGTACATACCAAATATAGTTATGGACTTAGACATTAATCCAACAAATATAATATATGGTTTAATGTTATTTATAGTTGTTTTTTTTTTTGCTAATTAATTTTTTAAAAATCATTTGCTTAATATTTTAGTTTCTATTATTATATTTTTTTAAAACATCAAACATTGTTTTTTTTAAGGTAACAATATAATCATTTATATAGAGTTATTTTTAACCATTGTTATTGTAAGTTATTTTAAGCTACTTATTTGAAAACTTTTAACGATTATAAGAATATCTTTAGAAAATATTTTAATTAAACTGAGATTACAATTTATTTTTTGCATTTATCACTATAATTTATCACTTTTAACTATTTATAAAATATTCTTTGGTTTTTTTAAGTGGAACTGAAATTTATATCTAGGTTGATACTGTAATGTTATATTTAAATTAATAATTGAAGTATTTTGTCAAAACTGTTGAAAAGTTGTAGCTTTAAACTGATAATGACTTATATACAACAACATTTTAGATCTAATAAATTAAGTATAATATATTAAAAGTCAAATACATAACTTTATAAGTAGAAGTAAATATATTATTTTAAAATTGAAATTTAGTTTATTTATGATTACACATTAGGTTTGATATTTATTTAGCTTTATTAACCAACTTATAATCATTATTTGAAAGATACTACAATTTATCACTTTTAACTATTTACAAAATATTGTTTGGGTTGTTTAAGTTAAACTAAAATTTATATTTAAGTTGACCCTGTAATGTTAAATTTAAATTAATAATTGAAGTATTTTATACAAATTGTTCCAAAATTGTATTTTTAAAATGATAATGATTTACATCCACTACCACATAATAACATATCATAAAAGCACATAAATCTCAATAAATGGTGGCATATCAGACAATTATCACAAAGATAATCATCTCTATTATAAATAACTACTAGTGGATCGACATTGGTGCCTTCGACCTACTTATACCGGGAAGGTAACTCACCTCGAATACTGGAAAGTAGCTGAACAGTCACCGACTCTGTATATCAACCCAACTAAATCCCCTACACATAAAAGATTTCCTTAATTACCCTTTCATACTCATAATCCCCTTAAGGGTTAGCTTTGGTCCAAGT